CGCGGTTCCTGGGACGTTGGTGGCCCCGGCCTGTCCCGGGTGGGCCAGGCTCTCCGCAGGGACTGTCCCCCTTGTGGACAGCAGCAAATTCAGAAGCAGCGGCGGACCCGCTCCCCAGAAAGGCCAGAACGACACTCCGGAGCTTCGTCCCCTCCAGGGACAAGGACGCCCCGCGGCCTCGCTCGCCTGCGCTCCTGCCTGTGCTCGCTCCTGTCGCTGTCCGAAGACGTCGCCTGCAGCGCCCGAGCTTTCAAGGGCGCTTTGCCTGTCGTTGCGCCCCCTGAGGTCCAGGTGAGAGGGGAGGCCGGGGGCAGGTGGCAGAGTCCCTGCAGGACGCCCACGGCGGCGCCCTTTTTTGCAGCGGCGCGACCCGGGGCGGACCCGCGCCACGCTCCCCGGGGACACGTCCCTCTGGGTCCCGCGGCACCGCGTCCTTTCCCAGTGGGTGGCGGGGACCCTGCCAAGGCTTCTACCCCACAGTTGCGTCCCCGTCCTCCTCGTGTTCCCGCACTGATAAAAAGCCATATATATGTTAGGTTTGCACTGAGTGCCCTGCTAAACCTTTGTCCCTGGCTCCGGAGTCAGCGCCACGTGACCAGAGGCCAGGCCACTTCCTTGGCCCCGTCTCCCATCCCCGTGTCCCTTCCTGCAGCCTCTCTCTCCCGTCCATGAAGCCCCCAGGCCCTTTCCTCCTGGGAGTCTCTCCCAGCAAAAATGGCAGCACGCTCTGTCCTGCCCTCTCTGGGCCACCTCAGCTTCCCGTATGCACCCGAGACAGGTGGACGCTGTTGCAGAAAATCAGGCTTTGAGGATCCAGTGTGACCAAGGTGCAGAGTCTTTGTGCCTCTGCTCTCTGCTGTGCCTCTCTTCGGTTGGGGCGGGGGAGGGAGCACCTCTGCCAGAAGCAGGGAGCAGGGCTCAGCCTCGCCCCCTTTGGGAGCAGCGTCTTGCTTGTGGCCTGGGGCGTGGGGCGTTGTTCGTTGCGGATGCTGTGCGAGCACTCAACCACGAGGAGGGCGGACTGTGACAAGGACTGCGAGCTCTGGCCCCTGGGACAGCAGGGTGCCTGCAAGGGCGCGTGTCAGAGTCACTGGCTCTTCTCCCTCCCCAGAGCTGTGGGACCTTGGTGCTTTCTCAGGGTCTCCTCGCACTCATCCCCTCCCGGTGTCCCACAAACCTCACAGACCCGCCCCCATCAACCTCAGCCCCCTCCCGTCGTTCTCCCAGCCTTTCCCAGCCGTATTTTCACCCCTGGGGGGGCCTCTCTGCTCACAAACCAAGTTCAGCCCTGCCAGAGCCCAGGACTGGCCACGGTCCTGACGGGGAGGAAAGAAATCGAGAGGCAGCTCTGGTGGCTTGGGTGTCCGTGGGCCTGGAGACAGGGCCTGGATTTTGTCGCCCTCTAGGGGCAACCTTGAGGGGCAGGGACAGTTGGCAGAGAGATGGAGTGACCTGGGCGTAGGGGGCAATTTTCAGCAGGTCCTGAGATGGATACTTGGCCCAGATGAGCCCTCCTAGCAGAAGGCACCTGTCGGGGCCCGCGAGCTAGGCAGAGTTTTTTCCACCTGAGGGGTGACGTTACCCAAACCTCAGAGCGCCATTCTGAACCCTCACTGCCCTGCAGGTTTCTTTGTGGGGCCATTAGGGAGCTGGGGTGCCGCCCGAAGTGGGATGGAGTGAGGGTCTGGAGGCCTCTGGGGAACTGTTCCAGGGAGAGGTGAAGGAAGGGGTGGAGACCATGAAACCCAAACCCAACCCCACCCAGAACCTGGGGCGAGGCCGGGAAGCTCTGCCTTTTCTCCTTGAGGATCATTCCAGAAGGGAGACCAGCTCTGTCAGAGTGACAGGCAGATGTTTGCACTTTGGTGGCTGAAGCTGAGGCGGGGGAGCGGGAAGGAGCTG